GAACTCACAGGCTCCCAGTTTCTAGCTTAACCACTACACCAAACTGGCTCTCAAATAACAACAACAACAACAACAACAACAACATAATAATAATAATAATAATGCATAAACACTCATGGATCAAATGGATAGTGTTATTGTTACTTTCTATTCTGCTCAACAGTGAAAGATCTCTGGGTGGATTACATACCTAAATCCTGGGATATATATCTAGATGTAGATGGATAGGTATATGTAGATACCTTGCGATATGTATGAAAGAAAAAACAGTGATAGAAGCAAAACAGTAGAATGCAATTAATGAATAACACTTGTTCTGGATGACAAGGACTGTGATGTACAAGGTGTCACCAAACTCTTTGTAGATTTTATCCAAGGCAAAATCATCAGAAAAACATAGGTGGAGCAAGCAACCATTTATTTATCGGTTAGATTTATAAGCCACCTTTTGGTACAGAAAAGACACGGAAGGTAGAAGAAAACATGTCTGTGTAAAAATGAACAAAAAATAAATATTAAAACATATCAAAACAGGAAAGCAATAATCAAATGTGTATTTATTTCAGTTATGTAGATCTCATCATTTCTAATGAAGCTCCATCTCTGTGTGATATAAGCAAGTTCAGAAGCAGTGCCCAGAGGCAGATAAAAAGGGAATAGCTGGCACATAATGGGGACAATATGTAATTCTGTGCAAGTCAAGCTAGTTCAACATTATTCTCCTCCTAGGGAGAAGCAGATAAATATTTTTGAGTGTATGTCTGGGCTGGATTATTACAGCTGTTATTGTTTCACAAAGATGTCCTCAAGTAAGCTGGGACAAATGCTTAACTGATTAGTTTAAAGGCTGGACTTTGGAGACTGAACAAGTCATGAGGATGGGAGGAATGAGACTGGGATCAAAGGGTTTGCAGTGATGGTCCTAATGGAGAAATTAATAAAATCAAATTAATTTAAGAAAACATAATTTCAGGAGAGGCTATAAGAATTAAACTCTTTTTACGACCCATGAGTAAGGTGCAAAGTAGCTATGATGTGAGATGAATGATTGCATATCTCCCACCACCATTTTTTTAAAAAATCTAAAGGTGTAGAAAATTGGGTTATAGATATGACACTACTGTTTTGCCAATTTAAATGCATGAATGATCTCCACATTTTCTTCTAAAGGACCAGTTTGGAGGTAGAGGAAATAAAAAAGGAAAAGGGGTTAAAAGAAATCAACCAGTTTCATGGTTTGGGTTCATGTTGGAGTAGTGGACAATGAACTTCTCTGAAAATCAGCGGATTCTATTATGGTTTCCCCCACATCATGTGTGTAGTTTAATTCATCTTTACCTTTTGGTCTGGCTTATGTCATTTCCCCAAGAGTGATCAGATAACATCTTCATAGCATCACCCTTTCATCACTGAAGTGATATAAAGCCTGTCCTCATTACTATTATTTTGGCAGAACAATAGTTGCATGATTTTGGAGGCTCATCCACAGTTCCTATTTGCTGTAGCACAAAGATGCTTCATGAACTGTCTTTAAAGGACATGTCCTCATTATGTCACCTTTGTCCCAGCCCTTGATGGAGACAGCCTATATTTGTCTTTAGCTGTTCCAGATTTAAAATAGTGTTTTCCCTCTTACCCCAGCACAAATCTAGCCATATGAATGGTCTACAACATCTCAGTGACAGTGTTGCTGAAGTCATAGTCAGAGTCTGGGATCTGCCCCGCTCCTATTGGTTACCTTGCAGTTGCAGAGCGCATTTTCCATGGTCACTTTAGCTAGGGCTGCAGGAAAGACCGGACACCTGGCTTCTGACTGACACCTTCCAAAGCACTAGTCTGTGTTACGCAGGGTCTTCATAAACACGGATTTACTGCTTTTTTCAAAGAGCAGTAAACCTGACTTAGAAACGAAAAACAAAATAGGATGCATATGTGCACATGTGGGGGTGATGTTGGCCCCTTCTCCCCCTACATTTGCAGGCCAGCTGGGGAGGGCTCCAGAGAATATTCATCCTCTTTTTCTATTTTTTTCTATGAACCTCAAGCGCTGCTTCTTTTTTCTACAACCCATTTCATCCAGGATGCAGAGAAAGAGCCCATGTGCAGAATTAACTAGAGAGGGGGTGCAAAATAGATCACTTAGGTAACAAGAATAACAACATCTTCCCTTCTCCTTGAATACCAATTAATTCCATTTCAAAATACAAAAGCCACTGTACCACAGAATACCAGGACTTTTCTTTTAAAGCTTACCACAAAATTAATAAGCCTCTCTCCCCAACCTAAAGACATTACCTTAATTCTAAATTACCTCTAAATTTCTTTTAAGAGGTGCCTTTAAAGAGAGGTACCTCCATTATAGAATTCTAATGTTATTTCAGGAGACCCTGATTCCAAAAGAGCATTAAACCAGGCCCAAAAAATCAGGCTTCCTATTAATGAATGTGCAAAAATAATCTGCGCTGTACCAATGTAAGTTTGGCTAGATTGCTAAACCTGACACTCTATCCATCTGTTAAAACTCATCTCCTTCCCAGCCCCATCTAGGAAAGCGATTGAAGGATGCATTTCCCATCACCTGGTGATGTTTGCTGGGAGGGCAAATAAAGCAAGGAGAGGGGAGAACTCACTAGTGGTTTTCCTTAACTCATCCCACATGAAAACTCTAAGGATGGCACCACTCTCTGACCTTTTTACTGGTGGAGAAGAGGTCCCAGCAATGCAGCACAAACTACAGTGGAATATGTATTGTCGAAGGCTTTCACGGACGGCATACGATGGCTGGTGTGGGTCTTCCGGGCTGTGTGGCC